TGCAGAAAGATGGGTGGTGAGCCCTTTATCTCATGAACTAGAGAAGTGCATGCACACACACACACACACTGAGACACACACACACACACTCACACTCACACTCACACTTACACTTACACTTACACTCACACTCACACACACACACACACGCACACCCACACACACACACACACGCACACCCACACACCCACCCACCCACACACACACACGCACACACCCACACACCCGCACACCCACACACACACACACACACACACTCACACACACACACACACACCCGTCCCAGGCCTGTTTTGCAGCTGCAAACATCACGCAAACACTGCTGTGATTCAGGCCCGCTTTGGCCACACCCTAACACTCCGCCTCCGTTGCTTGTTGCAAGCAGGTCAGGCACGAAATCCCTACACCCTGGGCTCCTAAACCACAGACTCACTAACCTTTAAGCCCTAAGCCCAAGACCTCAAGAGTGCTCCAAAACCCAGAACCCCTGCAGCCGCCTCGACTATTGCCCGAAGCTCTTCGAAGTTCGTCTCTGCAGAGACCACTTCAGGAGCTTCATTGTGCACCTGGGCTCGAGGAGTTTGGGCAAAAGGTGTTGAGGGCCGAAGCCAAACACCCGAACTCTACAGCTCAAAACCTCTCTGAGCTCCAAGTCCCACACCCTGTATCCTAAAGCCATCTAAAGCCCAAGCCCAAAGCCCCTGAACGCTTCAAGCCCCAAAACTAAAACCTCTCACGCCCCGCCTCTTCTTGCGGCTTCCGACGCTCCTGGCTTACAAGTTGAAGGTTCATGGTTTTTGCGCTTTCGGGTGGTTGGATAAGGCACTTAGAAGGCTTTACAATGGATTTGCGATTTTGCCGAGGTTCTTCTTGCTAAGTTTCTCAACAGGAGCTCTGGTCGAGGATGTTCTTAAGCTCTGTAGCGTTCTACGTAGTTTAGGGCCAAAAGTCGGGGTTTTGGGTGCGGGGTAGGGGTTCGTGGGCTGGGTGTTTGGTGGAGCCTTTCTTGCGAGTCTTCTTTCTGAATTCTGGGAAAATCTTAGATCTGATGCTCCGAACTCAAAGGAAACTCTGACCTTAGACCCCGGGCCCCACAACTCCAAACCTTAAGCCATGAACCCCGGGCCCGAACCCCAAGCACTGCACCCTCAACCTGAAACCCAACCACAATCCTGAACCTTAGGAGGCCTTTTGGGATCCACAAGCCCCTAAGGGGCCCTTAGTTTCTGTGGACACCGGGCTTTCTGCCCCGCGCCCAAAACTGCAGCCTTATGCTCCAGAGGCCCACCGCGCATCCATTAATACAAAAGTTGTAATCATGAAACCCAAGGTCTGGTGGTTTCGATGATGTTTCAAATACGTCGGAAATCCTGAGGAACAATGCTGCCACAAAACGAAATCCGAACTCCGGACGTCCTTCTTGGATGGCGGAACCGGCAATCGTAGGGGAGGCCCCTGCGGCTTTGCTTGAGCGTGATTCCGGGGCTTTCGATGGCTCTTTGCAACACCAAAAGATTTTACGTCTCAACCTGACAGGTGAGACCTGAAACACACCAATCAAGCCCTAAGCCAATTTATTTTGCCTAAGCCAAGAACCCCAAAGTAGCATCAGCCAAGACACCTGATTACGCCAGACCTCGTTTAGACATCGTGCGGGACCTACTGCAAGGAGGAAATTCAGGGAAACAAGAGCCCCGCCTTTGAGAACGACCGCCAAAAATGGAACCTCCAAATACTGAAAACCCGCTGTGCTTCAACGCTTCGTGGGACTCTTCGTGGGACTGCAGCCGCAGCCTGCTGTTATAATTCGTGTTAAAGGTTAAAGGCTTAGGGTGTGTAGCGCTTTTTGCATCATCCCTACCGTCGTGGCATTACCTTTGTCCGTTATATTCTGGGCAATGTCTCAGCTGCTATTGGCCAGCTCCTAGTAGCAGTGATAGCTGAACAAAGAGCTCGGCCACATCCGTGCCATGACGAGGGATCGCTGGCCATGGAGGGCCACAGGCGCCGCTTCGAAGTTTGCTCCTTGATTGTCCTTGAGCAACATCTGCTTGGTATGGAGGACTGGCTGTTGCTCGTGGTATGGCGAGAGATGTCGGCCCCAGTGGTCGCTTCGTGGCAAGACATGCGCCAGCACGTCTTCCAGTATTTCCAAACGGATACAACAGCAAATCAAGATGAGACACTGCATGTGTTGAGGACGGAGGTCAAACTGAATCTACCAGAGACCAACAGGCCAAGCATTGCGATATATTGCGCGTATCCGGCATAAAGTTTCAAATCCTGCAGGAATATCAGACTCAGTCCCGCCCGATAATACTCTTGCTGCCATTGCGGGAGCTGCGAGGCACGTAACTGAAGGTGGTGTAGGTCATGTTTTTGCTGACGGCCTTCTCTGTTGTGTGCTTGTGGAAAAGGCGAGAAACAGCGCCGCCGTTTGCCGGAAGGACATCTCAATCCATACATACGCTAAAGAGATGCCAGAGAGAAAGATCCAGGTTCGAAGCGTGCTGAGAAAGTGAACGCATGTCCATGCCGAATGACAGTGCCAATCCACAACTGGACCTTTGCTTGAGAAACAACGAGACACAAGATGTTTGCATACACATATGTCGATGCAGATGATCGTCCCTCCTGAACTCATGGTGAAGACCGAGCAAGTCAGCATGTTCAACGTCGGGTTCCAAAAGCCCGGCGTCCATCCGACGGGCAAAAAGACTGATCCCAGGCATGTGATGAAGACCGCAAACCCCAGGCCACAAAACCAAACGGGCGGCTGGCGGCCAAAGAGGGTCATTGCCCCAATACCGTGGAGATATCAAGGCACCTACAGAGAGGCCGGGCCGCCACCACGGCCAGTGTTTGGAATCGGCAATCACCTCGAAATGTCCCATGATGATGAAGTAGGCTATCAGCAACACCAAGTTCTGGAAGCAAGCGATGACGACCGTGGCTGTGGTGGTTGTTGCCAGAGGCTTCGCCTCCTGAAAACCCACAGACACGTCCAAGCTCTCGACTTCGCCGTGGCCTACATAGGAAGGTCCGCAAAATACCAGACAGTTCCCACAGCAAGTTGCCTCGCATTTCGCGTATAAACCTCGATGCCACATTCGTGACCGGAGTCATCGACCTTCACACGGTAGCACTCGACATCTCTGAGGTCAAGGATGTCAGGTCCATAGCGACTCATACCAACCGCTGCACAACCATATTGCCTCCTCGTCCGATGGGTCACTCGCGGGAGGAGGGTTCCACACGAAGCCGGCCATGTTCAGCCTCCGAAATCCCAGGTCAGTCTCTGCCCCCCAGAGCGAAAGCTCCAGAAACCCGAGGGGCATGATTCCCAAACCCTAAACCCCAAGTCCTGCATCCCAACACACAAAAGCATTGAAACTCTAAATCCTGCGGAACTCAGGTGCACGGCCTTGTGAACCCCGCAAGTCCGTCGAATCGCGCCGTGGCATGGGGGGCCCTGTAAAGAAGGCGATTGAAAGGATTCATGGTGTTAGGTTTCGGATGTGGGATTCGGGACTTAGGGTTCTATAGGATTTGGGGTGCAGGCTTTTGGATTTCGGGCTCGCTTGGTTTGGGGAGGTTCCGGGTTTGGGGGGTCCGAGGAGCTACGAGGTTCGAAAGTAGGGAGCTCGGGCTGCTGGCCCAAGCAGTCCTGCGGCGGTCAGCGGCAGAAGTTCAAGAGTGGATCCTACGTTTCAACGCAGGAAACAGTTCCTGAGCTTGAAAGTGTCATCTTGAGGTCTCACGCTCCGGTTCACAGCAATTGTAGAGGGTTTGGGCGGTTTGGGCCCCTGAGGTTTCACCGAGACATCTGAACCATACTCGTCGCGAAGCCGCAAGTAGGGAGCTCAAGAATAGGAAAGAATCCAATCGACGATTGCTCAAGGGGTTTAGGGTTTAGGGTAAAACCCCTATAAGGGGTTTGGCTTCACTAGTTTATGTGCTTTCCTGGTCCCAAGCCAAGCCCCCAAAAAGACCCGAGCCCAAGGAGCTGTGGGTTGAAACCCGAACCCTGAACTGCAAAACACCCCATCATCAAATACTGAGCCCAACTTCTGAAATTTCAACCCGGGGGAGCATGTGAGCCCTATTTTAAACACAACCGATAGAAGCTCTTTACGACCCGTTGATCTATAAAGCCTGTAGCAGATCTGACCGGCAAGGCCAAAGAGGTCGGATCTCGAGAACTAAACCCTAAACCCCGAGCCCTAGCGAAGGCCTTCAGCCAGTCTGGAGTATCAGCAAACGGCTCTCCAACGGGGGCCTTGGCAGAGGTTTGCGGGGTTTGGGGTTTTGGGGTTTGATTATGGTCTAGGGTTGTTCATGCCCGTGCATGAACCCTAAAAATCCCCAGACCAACCCTAACCCCCAAACCCTAAACACCGAACCGTGAACCCGCAATGCTGACATGTCGACTCCTGAAGACTTGTTGGACACCGTCAACCTCCGCCAAAAGACCTAAACTGTTGGCATGCAAGGGTTGCAGCTACATACAACTTTTCGGGCTTTGGGGTTCAAGACTGAAGGGTTTCAGGCATCTAATGAGGGCTTTTAGTCTACAGGCACATAAATTGATGCCGCGAAGAAAAGCCTCCCTCCCTCCCTCCCTCC